CTCGCACGCACGCACGCACACATACACACATGCGCGCACACATACGCACACACAGAGTGATGCCAGTCGACTGGCGTCTGGCCGGGGCGCGCCGACGGGGCGCCGCACGCGAGTGGGGCATGGCCCAATCAGCCGGGCCGAGGAGCACGCCACCGTCCTTGGAACGTTGCCGGTAATCACTGACACGCAAGCAGGCTTGCTGTCCACATGCGTGTACATCGACACCAGAACAGCACGATAAAACACCAGCCGCGGGCAGATACTCCTCCCTGCCGCGGGCCACATGCCCCCGCCATCCGACAGCGGCGCGCCCCCGCCCATGAGAGACCGAGGACGAGGAACGCCGTGCCGGGGGTCTCCCGGGACAAGAGCGCGAGCCGGGGCCGGAACCGGGACCGGGACTAGGGCGGGGGTGCGAGGCATTGTGTCCCACCACCCTGGCTGGTGTCCAGGACAAGAACCGCGGAATAGTGTTTCATCCCAGCGGGCGTGTGACCTGCATTTTTGCGCGTGATCTCGGGCCCCACCCGCCAATGACACTTCCTGAAAATGGTCCTCCCGCGTTGTGGCGGAAAAAGAGGACCAGCCAATATTGTAACGCGTAAATATTTTCCCTTTTTGCAGCAGCCGCCCCCGAGGCAGCCCCCAGCTGCTCTTGCCTGCGAAGCCCGGGGAGCCCCCCCCATTCAAGCCACCAGAGACGGATCGGCCTGGAGAACCGACTAACATGAGAAGCCACTTCGAGAGAAGGGAGCTGCCGAAGCCGGCAGGGGCCCACTTTGCCAGCAAGGGCTTTCATGCGCATCCCTCCCCACACCCGCCCATCAAATAGAGGCGCCAGGCTGGCGACCCAGATAGTGGATGCGATCTAGATCTCCCCCCCCCCCCCCCCCACCCCGTCTCTCCCGCCGGTGGTTGTCCGCTCATCTGTCTATCCCTTCCTCCCCCTCCCTCTCCCTCGCAGCCCTCCCTCTTCCACATCCCCCTCCCTCTTCCACATCCCCCCCCCCTTCTCCTTGCTGTCTCCCCTCCTCCCCCTGGCCTTCTCGCTCGGCGAGGTGCCCGCCCCCTGCCCTGCCCTGGCGATCCCCAGGGAGGCTCCCATCCCATGATGGACTCACTGCCGGTGCCCCCGGTCCAGGTGCTGGCCATGTCCTCCCTGCCGGATGTCGGGGGTGCCTTTGCGCCCATCACCACACACGATGCCGGTGCGTGCTTGCCTGTCTGCCTCCCCCCCCTCCCCCCCCCCTCCCGGCCTCCCGGCCTCCCGGCCACCTCTCATGCACTCTGACCACACGTCCATCCAGCCTACTGGGCGCCGGACAGCGAGTATCGCGCCTTTGCGGCCGGGCTCCAGAAAACCCTGGCGGCATTTGACACGGCACGCGAGTGGGCCGATCTGTCGGCCTTCGTCCGGCGCCTGAGCCGGCTGCTGCGTGCCTTCCAGCAATCGGTCGCCGCTCGCGGCTGCACCATGGCCGGGGATCTCCTGCCCGCGGCCGGGGATCTGCTGCTGGTGCTGGACCCGGCGCGTCGCCATTCGACCCATGCCCTCCTCAGTGAGGAGAGCGATCTGGGCCTGGACCTGGACCCGGGCTCCGGAGCCCCCGCCGGCTGGCTGTCCCTCCGGCCACCGGGGGCGGCGGCGCCCGGCGGCGGGGCTTCCTCCGCCCCGACTGCCTCCTCCTCTTCCAGCGGCGAGGGGGCCCTGCCCTCGGTGGCCAACGGCGGGGTGGATTCAACCCGGCCGGCATACCCTGGCGCGCCGGTCCCGGACCCGGTGGGCCTGGCCCGACGCCTAGCCCAGTGTCTGCACCCGGCCCTGCCGAGTGGCGTTCATCTCGAGGCTTTGGCCGCTTACCAGAGCCTCTTCAGCCTCATTGGCGTGCGTGTTGGCTGGCTCCCCTTTGCCGGCGGTCCTTTTGCGTCTGCCGATTGGTGTTCACCTCTCTCCCCCCCCCACCCCCCCCCCGTACCTCCCCTGCGCTTCATTCCTCTGTCCGCTGTTGCTCCGGCACCCCCCCCTCCCCCCCTCATGGCGTAGCCCATTCGTCTGGCGCGCGACCTCGATGTCTGTCTGTCCGGCTTGTTGGTGACCACGTTGACGGCCGGCGCGCCGCAGCCCGGCGCCGGGGCCCCCTCATCCGGGGCCCCGGCCGGAGCGCGCTTCCTCCCCTCGGTCCGCGAGTTGGCCGGGCTGGTGCCGCGGGATCGGCTCACCTCGGCCCTGCCAGGCACATTGCTGGCCGGCGTGGGCCAGGTCCTTGGCCGCCATAGCGATCCGCACCTGCAGCAGGCCGGCAGCCCGGCCTACGGCGGCGGCGGGGGGTATGGCGGCGTGGCGGCCCACATTCGGCCGCAGTTGGTGCGGATCTTGGGCTCGGCCGTGCGTGCAAGTCGATCGGTCTACCTGCGCACCCGGCTCCCCGCGAATGCCGGGCCAATGGCGACGACTTCCCCCACGGCGGAGGCCCCCTCCGACACGTCTGGCGGCCTGGTGCTGGTGCCGATCGGGGCGGCGGCGCTGCAGGCTGCCTCGGTCGCCCTGACCCTGGCCCTGTTGCCGGGGCTTCTGGAAGACGACCTCGTTGGCGAAGACGCGGCCGGAGCGCCGGCTGCCGCGGCAACCGCCGGGCCGGCGACCGGCTCCTCCTCGACGGCTGCCACCCTGCTGGCCGACTCGCCGACCCTCTCGGCCCTGGCCAGCTCCGACTCCCCACCTCTCGGGGCCTCGACCAGCATGCATCACCATCCGGCCCCAGGGGCCGGGGATGCACCGGCCCCCGCCTCGCTCGGGGACCTGTCCTCAGGGATCCTGCTGTCGCTTGTGGCCGCGCAGGCCGAGGTCGAGGCGCACTTTTCTTCGCCGGACACCGGGGGCGCCGGCCTGGCGGAGCAAGATCGCCAGCTGGATCTCCTGGTTCGGTCGGTCAGTCGGGCCATTGTTGATATTGGCCCGGGCCCGGCGTCCGGGCTGCCCCTCGGGCCGCGGCTGCTGCCTGCCGTACATGACACCCATGCGCCCGGGCCGGCTGGCGGCCTGTGTGGCTGTCTGCCAGCCGGGGCGGCCTGGGTGGCTGCGCCACATGGAGCGGGCCCGGGATCGGGTGGAGCCGGTGCCGGCGCCCTCCGCCTTGCCGGGCTGACCTTCCTGAGGGAGCAATTGCCCGAGGCCACCAAGCCACTTCCGATGTCTGAACCTGCCCGAGGTGCCCTGTTAACCGCCGTCAAGACTGCCCTCCTGGGGTCGGTGCCCCACTCGGCCATCGGCTTCACGTGCTATGTTCTGCCGCCGGCGGCCGCCGGGCAGGTGCACGCGCATCTTCGCGCTGCGGCCCGGCCGCCGGCCGATTTGGCGTCCATGCTGAGCTTGACCGAGTGGCCGAGCTTGGCGGCCGCCCCGCGCGGGTCTGTCCACGGGTACCGCAATCCGGATGTCGGCCCGGCCGGGCGTCTGAAGGCTCCGCCCCCGGTGATGTCTCGCCCGGTCGGGGACGATGCGTCTCTCGTCACCCGCGCCGCATTGGACCTCATGTGTGACAAGCTGCCGTGGGACTGCCACGGTCAGGGGTGCGCTCGCAAGCCCGCGCGTTGCGCGCGTACACACACGCATGTGTGTGTGTGTGTGTTTGTGTCTTCGTGTTGGTGTTGTCCCCTCATCCACACCACCATGTTATTTTCCCTGGTTCGACTGCATTTAACCCCCTCCCCTTCCCCCTTGTCCCTCCTCCGGCTGTCTCTTCCCTCGCGTCGACATTTTCCCTCCCTCCATGCTGCCTCTGTGGTGCTCGGGCCTCTGGGGGCCTGGGCACACCCAGTCCCGAGAGAGCCGAGACGGGGTGGCTGGAGCTGGCTGCCTGCGCGGTGGCCGGCGTCCTGTATGAGTGCTTTGCCCTTTTCAACAGCGCGGTCCTGTGCTGCTTCCAGCCAGCCCGGTCCCTGGACAAGGGCCAAGCCTTTCGCTGGGACGATCGCCCCCCGGCGGACTTCACCCTGTGGCGTGTGGTCACCGGGCGCGGCGACCCCAGCCCCGGTGGCCCGGGGCAACTCACCCCTGGCGACCCGCTATTCGATCGGCCCGTGTCGGCCGAGTGCATCCGCGGGGCTGCCATCTGTTGGGAAGTAGGCGCCTCCCCGGCTGTCACCCTTCCTCCCGATAGTTTGGCCCTCTTCCGGCGGCTATTCACCTGGCTGGACTCCTGTGCACACTGTGCCGCCGGGCCGGGGGCCGAGCATCGATCCCCCCCGGGCCCCTGTGGTGGCCAGCTGGTGGCCTTGCTTCTGCGGGTGCGTGGCCCATTGCTCCGCCTCTTTTCTGTCTTCTGCCCCCCCCCCCCCACACACACACACACTTGTCGCTTCACGCCCATTTCACCTGGCCGTACCTGACAGCCGAGGTCCGGCTCTGCCCCATGTAGCGCCTCGCCTCGCCCGCGGCTCGGGCTCGTCTCGCCCTGTTGCTGTCCTTCCTTCCCTCCTTGGCGCCGCAGCAGCTGCAGCGCCAGCAGCAGCAGCTGCAGCAGCAGCAGCAGCCGGACTCCCCGGTCCAAGAAGCGGCCCTCGCTTCGGGGTCCGCCGTTGAGTCGCCCTTCGAGAAGTCCGTTCAGCGGGTGTGCCTCTCGGCCCTGGTGGCTGAGGCCCCGGCGCTCACACGCAGCCTCCGTGTTCACTGTACACCGGCCGATCCGACCGCACTGAGCTATTCCTGGGAGCTGGTACGCGCCCGCATCGGCTCACGCTGTCCTCACCACACGCCCCCCCCCCCCCCCCCCCCCCCCCCCCTCAACCCTTCACATCGCTCTTGCACCTGCTGACGCATCGGTCTCCGGCCCAGATGCATGGTCGTCTGGCCCTTGGCGGCATGCTCACCCGGCTGGCCTTGCATGTTGGCTGGCCCGCGGCGCTGGGATTGCCTCCGCTGGCCCCTGGTCCCGAGGGGCTGGAGCAGCTTCGCCAGACCTGTCTAGATTTGCTCTTCTTGGCGGACATTCTCGCACCGCACGGTGCCACCGGACGCGACGACCAGAATTTCCTCCTGACCCTGTTGGACTTCGTGGCTGGTGTCTTGGCCATGGTGCGCGCGCGCACGCACGCACGCTCCTCTCCGCATGCGGGTCTCGGCCCATCTGTCTCTATTGCCATCCGTCACGCCGGGATGTCACACACGCCCACTCACCTGGTTGCCTCGCTTCCATTCCCCTTTGTGTCCTTGCCCCGTCTTAGCTGGCCGAGAGTACCGACCTCAGTCCTGAAGGATTGGACTTGCTCAGGCTGCTGGGGTTCCTGGCCCGGCGAGGTGTGGAAGCCGCTGTCCCGGCGCCGCCCGGGGGTCAGTCTGGCCTTCCAGGTCGTGATCCACTGCCGGCGTCTTTGGCCCGGCGGCTGGTGCTCGCCACCGGACACCTGCTTGGCCGGCATGCGGATCTGGCCACCAAGAGGGGCTTTTGCGCGAGTATGATGAATTTCCTGCTGGCGGCCGTGCGCATGTCCACGGTCCCAAGCTCCTCCGGCGGTTGTGCCTTCTGCCATGTGGGCGGGTCGGCCGAGCGATGCCTGCTGGCTGTGATGTTGGATTTCCTCCAGGCACCCGGCACTTGGGAGAGCCCCGGCAACCCGCTTGACACGGAGCATGGGGCCGACCCGCGGCTTTTGCTGCGCTTGTGGATCTTGCGCTTTGTGGCCACTCGGCAGCCGGCCTGCTCGGTGGCCATCGGTGATATGCCGGCCACGGTGCTATCGGAGAATCTGGTCCGAGCCCTGGTCCGAACGGTACGCGGATCTTCCCCTGTCCTTGGGCGGGCCCATCATGCTTCGACTTGACTGCATGGCACTGACCACCGGCGGCCGCCGACGGCATGTTCACAGTGTTGGCCTCTATTTGGAGCGGGTGGCGAGGCCGCCCAGGTGGAGCTGATGGCCGGCGAGGTGGTTGCATCGCTGCAGTTGGTTGACACTCACCGGGCCCTGGTCGGACTGGACCAGCCGGCGGCCGGGGGCCTCCTTGCCTCGGCCTTGGACCGGGAGCTGATCGACCTCTTCTCGATGGAGGCCGCATGCTCGGGACCTGGGGGGCATTTTGTCTCGCTGGCCCACCTGCGGCTGTGTCGGTTCCTGGATTTCCTGGCGCCAGATCGCACAAGCCACGCGGACAGCCTGGCCTTGCCGATGCCGGCGCAGTGTCTCTTCCTGCTGGCTGGCACCGCTCGCGGGTGTCCGTGCGTGTGCTGCCCGCCGGGCCCGGCTGGCGGGGACGGCCCCCCGGCCGCGGATCCCCGACACTTCTCCGAGCGGCAGATCTGTGCCGATACGCTGGACCGCTTCCTGTTCGGGCAGCTCACCCACCCGGCGGCCCTGCTTCAACACAGGTACGTGACGTATGGCGGGGCACTTGGCCCTGTGTTGGGACATGTGTCCGCTTCTCTCTTCCACAATCCGACCTCCTTGGGTCCTGCACATATGCGTGCGCGCGCGCGCGCAAGTCCACCCACCCACCCACACCCACACACACATACCCACACCCACACCCACACCCACACACACACACACACACACACACACACACACACACACACACACACACACACACACACACGGACAACTGTGCCGGCACGAGGCACATGGCAATCCACACTTGTCGCCCTTCGCCCTCTGACACTCTCATCCTTTCAGCGTGATGGGGACCATCTGTGAGGTGCTACTTAGCTCGGCTCCCGGGCCCGGGGCTGGCCCTGGCGGCGGGCAAATTGACACGGCTCGAGCGGCCTTCTCGCTGGACCTCCTGGGATGGCTGCTTGCCTGCGACCGTCGAGGCCGAGGAACTGTGGCACAACTACGCGCTGGGGTTCCCTCCGAGCATGGGTCCTCCCTCGGCCCGGACGCGGTACTCTTCGACCAGGTGGTGGAGTGTCTCTGGCGGTGCGTGTGTGCCGCCTGCTGCTTGCTTGCCTGTCCTTGTGTGCCCTTTCCGCCGCTGTCGGCCTGCTGAGCCCGCTGCTTGTACTATTCTGTGCTGGGCTGGCCCTTTCACTCGGTGGCTGATCCTCCGTCCCCCCTCCCCCCCCCCCCCCCCTCCCTCCCTCCGTCCGGCTCTGCATTCGGCTCTCCTTCCCCTCTTCCATGGGCCAGTCTCACCTTTTTCCTCTCCCCGACGCCTGGGGCGGAGGATGCGGCGCACTCAGATGGCGGAGAGGCGCCGCGCATCCCGGCCGGTGTACAGCTGGCTGCCAGTGAGGCTCTCCGGCGCCTGCTGGCCTTGACTTCCGGCCGTAGCCCTCATGGTACCTCCGGCTCCCGGGCTTCCAGCGTGCCGGCCACCAGCCGTCGTCTGTTGGCCGTGCGCTCGCTCAAGGCCCTGGCATCGTCGTTTGCCGTGTCGCAAGCGGCCGTCACCCAGGGGGCCGGGCCCGGTGGCGCCGAGGATGACCGGCTTCTTGCGTCGCACCTGGTGCTGCACCTGCAACTGGTGGACTTGCTTCCGGCGCGGGCGCCCGGCAAGTTGCATGGCCGCTTGCCGGGCCCGGTGACCGACACCGGGTCCACCCTGCCACTGTGGTACTTCCTGTCCGTGTGTTCGGTGGTGCGCCGGGTACTGACCGGCCCGGGGGCGGCCTTCTTCGCGGCCGTGCGCGCCGGGGAAGCCCCCTGCCCGGCGCTGCTCAGCCGGTGCCTGCTTCAGCGGGCCCTCTGGAGCGCCTTGCTACTGCTCATCGAGGGGCGCCTGGTGGCAGCACACCAAATGAGCCTGACCCATATTGCCCCAGTGGAGGTGACCCTCGGGGCCGATGTCCAGGGGTTGTTGGATCTCCTGCGGGCATGCTCCCTGTCTGGGGGCGATGTCAGTGGGTGAGTGTCCTTCTTCCCTTGCCTTTGCTTTATTTGCCTTTGCGTTGCTTCTCGCCTCTGGTGCCTGTCTCCTGGTGGCCATTTGCCCGGCCCGAGCCTGACCCCATGTGCTTCATCTTTGCCACAAGTCCCGGGCTGGTTTTGGTCCTGGCAGTGCGGACCATGTCATTGCTGCATCGGATCGGCGGCCAGCTGCATGGGCCGGCCCGGCGGTCGGGCGGCTCGCCCGGCACCGGAGGCCCGCTGGACCTGGCCGGCCGGGGCTCCCCCTTTGACGCCATCATCGCCCTGGCCTGGGCCGACCGGGTGGGCCGGTTGTCGGACCATGTGTCCGACGCGGGGGACTTCCTCGGGGGCCTGTGCACGCTTTTGGAGGGTGCCTTCGCCGGGCGCCCGGCCCCTCCTCGGACTTTGGACCCTGGCCGGCAGGCGGTCTTCTCCCAGCACCTGGGCCTGTGCGTTGGCCTCTGCTGCTCCCCTTTTCGCTTCCTCCCGGCTGCCCTGGCTCTGGCCCGGCTGGCATGATGGTCTCTCGCTCTAGCTCTCTCTCTCTCTCTCTCGGTCATTCCTACCCACTCACATACCCTCCCCCCCCCCCCCATTTCCCTTTTTCGCCCCCTCCTCCGCCCACCCTCCAAAGCATCCTGGACTTGGTTCCCTTCTTCATGTTGTCGATCCCGGCGCAACAGGCCCCGGCCCGGCGACGCGTGCTCTTCACCCTCGCCGGGCTGCTGGCGGTGGATGGGCAGTTGCTACTCCGGTCTTTGACATTGAACATGCGTGCGCGGCTCCTGGTGGCCGCCCTCCGGCCCCCGGTGGAGCAGGCTGCTCGGCTGCCGGAGGATTTCATTTGCGACCCGGCCACCCGGGCGCACAGTTGGATTCTCTGCTGGCTGACGAGCATGGCCCCAGTGACCGATGGTCGGCCGCATGCATGTGGCCGGGCCCTTGGGTTTGGGTCTCTCTTTGGTCCGCTGGTCGAGGGTGTGGGCACGCTGCTGCTCCTCCTCCGGCAGAGTCTTCTCCTGCCGGTGGGCTCGGCCGGCCCGGCCGAGCCACGGTCGGATGCCCTGGCCGGATCTCCGGGCTCGGATCGGGGCCTGACCACCTCGGGCCCGGTGCCAGCCTCGGCCGGCGTGGCCGACGCCCTGGGCGACAAGCCCGATGCCCCGGGGCCCGGCTGGGATGAGGCTCTGGCTACCGAGATCATCAGTGCCCTGGTGGCCCTGTGCAGTCATCTGTCCTCGTTGGCGGTGTTGGCCCGGGGCCATCCCCTGCGCCAGGCCTTCCCCGGGTACAGTCTGCCGCTGGAATACCTGGCCCGGCCACTGGAGGCCGCCCCGGTGGAAGTGGCGATGCTGCTTCGGGAGCCGGGTCGTCTGCGTGGCCGCGGCGGGATGGCCACCAGTGGTCTCGGCCCCTTCGGCCGGCTGGGGCCCGATACCTCGGGCCTGGGGGCCTTGCTCCTTGTGGTGCAGACTTTGAGCATGGACCTGGCCGAGGCGGCACAGCGGCCGGTGGACACGGCGATCTTGCGCCGACGCCGGAATCCGAGCACTGCCGCCGGGGCACTCGCCACCGGGCCGGCTGCCATTGAGGCCCTGTGTCTGGAGGCCGGGCAGTTGGACCATCGGCCGCGTTTGGCCCTGGCCTGCTGGCTGTCCTTCCTCTCGGGTGTCCATCGGCTGGCGCGTGAGTGGGATGCGGCGGTGCCGGTGGAGCTGGCACTCTTCGCCGCGGCCGGCACACTGCCTCCGGGGCCCGATGGATCCCGCCGACCGGGCGAGCCCATCGCCGGCGCTCGGCCACTGTCGCAACTGGACGCCTGGCGCGGTGCCCGAGGCGGCGGCCGCTGTCCGGATGGTACGTGCCTTCCCGCCGGCGCCGGGCCCCTCGGGGCAAATCGACCAGGCCCGGCGTCCGGCTGGCCGGCGGATGATCTGCCATCCGACGTGTGCGGTGCCGCCGGGCTGAATCAAGGAGCCGACTCGGGCGCCTCTGGCGATGATGACCCCGCCGGGGTTGCGACGCCGGGCGCCGATGCCGCCGATACCCCGGCCGGCCCTGCTGGCATCCCGTCCAGCAGTGCCGGCGCTCCAGCATCCATGGAGAAGGGCCTGCCTGGTGCAGGCGCCGGTGCCGGTGCTGGTGTTGGTGCCGGCTCCGGCCGGCGCTTGGCCACCCTCATCTCAGACCCCTATCAGGCCTGCCTGGAGGCCCTGGTGACGTTGGCTTGCCGACGGAATGACCGCGTTAGCTGGCTCCGCCGGCGTCTTTTCCCCAGCTCGGCCAATTTACACGGCCTGGCAGCTGGCGAGGGGGAGCCTGCCTTGGCAGGTCCGACGGCCGGGGTCCCCTCTCGGCCGCCCTCGCCGGTGCCCGATGGGCCGCACCTTGAGGGTGATCCCCATCGGCCGGCCATTGGCCACTCGACCCTCAGTCCCGAGCAGCTGGCCGAGGCAACCTTCTTCTTCGGGGCGCACGGCGTGGCCGTGGCCTCGCGCTGTGCGGTCGAACGCGAGGGCGCCATCCAGACGGCGGTATGTGGCCTCGGGTGGGATTTCGGCACTTGCGCGCGTGGGCCCTGCCTTTGGCCTCTTACTGACTCTCCTCCGGCTATGGTGCTGCTTTCCGGTCACCGGCCTGCCACCCCCTCGCCACCCCCGGCCTCCGGCATGGCCTCGGCCCGGTGCAGATCCTCTTCTGCCTGGCCAACGAGCTGCCGGCCATCTCGCGCTTGGTGTTGGACGACCCGTCCAAGGTGGCCGACTTGACGGCGGACCTGGTGCAAAATTGCATCCTTCCTGGCTACCTACGGGCGGTGTGGCATGAAGGCGGCGACCATGGGCCGAACCAGGGGTTCGCCGGGGCCGAGCCCACCGGACCCGAGTCCGCCGGACCCGGCGGCCTGCTGGGCGTTCCTCGGCGAATGACCGCCGCGCATCGGTCCCTGGCGCTGCGCTACCGCAGCGCCCCGGCGCTGCAGCTCGCCTCGCCCCATGGCCATGCAGTGGTTTCCCTGCTGTCATCCATCAGCCGGGTGTCTTACCTGTCGCAGTGCGTCGGCCCTTCAGCTGGTGTGGCTGCCTCCGTGCCCGAGTCGGCGTTTACCTTGCTTGCCTTTGTCCTACCCCCGCCCCCGCCCCTCTCCCTGTTCTTCGCCATGCCCTCCGCCCATTCGCCCTGCTGACTACCGCCTTTGCACTCCGCCCCACGTAGGGTCTGGAGCCGAGAGGTGTGGGACTTCTTCCGGTCGAGGCACTTCTTCCTGAGTGTGCCCTTCTCGCCGATGGCCGACATGCCGGGCAGCGACGCGGCGGATTCCGTGGCACGGCTCTCACTGCCGGCCTGGAAGCGCATCGTCCCGCTGGCCTCGGTGATGGCCCACCCGACCGGGCGCTGGTGGGAGGCCCTCAGCCCGTTCCACCATCCGACAGGCCTGAGCCCGGAGCCGGCTGACGAGACGGCCTTCTGGAATCGCATTGTCTTCTTGCTGGACTCGGCCGGCGCCGACGCGGCATACTTGTCCGGGTCTGGCGAGCTCCTGGAGGAGGTCTTCCACGCGGCGGCCGCCCATGGGGCCAAGACTCGCCCGAATGGCGGCGGGGCCAGCGCCACCTGCCAGTGGCTGTTCAGCCTGGGCGAGCCGCTCCCGGGCTTGTGCAGCCCGCACCTGCCCGCCGCCGTGGGGTCCCTCCATGCGGCCTTGCCCATCCTGCAGGAGAAGCTCGTTACCCGCATTCGCCGCGTGGGCTTGCTAGACAGCCAGGGGTTGATTGCCCCGGCCGGTGCTCCGCTCGGGTCGGTGCTTCCTCTGCGCCCTGGTCTTGGAACACATGCTGGTGGTGATGCCAGCCCTCCCTGTCCCGAGGGGGAGGCATCGGCAACCATCCCCACAAGTCACCTCCTGGCTCGGCTGCCGGTGATCGACACTGTGGCTTGGCTGGAAGCGCCGCTGGCGCCGGCCGAGCGCGCTGGCCGGGATCTCTTCCTCATTTGCCGGGCGCTTGTTCAGGCATTCCCGGCTGACCGGCAGCTGGCTGTCCTCTGGCCGACGGTGTTCTCGCAGCTGGTGCGCTTTTCCTCCCTCCCGGGCACTGCCATCCCCTCTGCCCGCATCCTGTCTTTCTCTCTGTCCCTCTGTCTTTCTCTCTGTCCCTCTGTCTTTCTCCCTCTCCCTCGGTCTCTCTCTCTCTCTCTTTTTGTCTCCTTACCTGCTTCCCCTGCCCTTGCTTGGTCTCCTGGCGACTGCTGCGCCCCCGGCATAGGTTCACTTCCTGTCATTGCCAGAGCCCCTGGCATCTGGAGGGGGCATCCCGCAGGTGATCGTGGCCGCGGCCGTGCTAGTTCTGCGAGCCGGTACCCAGCGGGTGGCCGATCGCGAGCACGGCGGTGCGGTTCTCTTCCAGCTTCTGAACCACCATACCTTCATCCGGGAGGTACCCTGGCCTGCCGGGCTGGCCCAGATCCCGCCTGGAGTTGGCCTGGCCCCCGGGGCCGAAGTTGGCGCGGGGTTGCTGCTGCGCTGGCTGCGCGCGGCTCTGCGCCCAGGCGGGGCTCCATAGACCGTGGATCCATTTTTCCCCACTCCCTTTCTCTGCTTCCGGCCTGCTTGTACATCGGCGCGCTCCCGTGCAAACACGCACACACATGCACACAGGCACACATGTCTCTATATACCTTCCCCCCCCCTCCCTCCTCCTCCTCTTGCTGCCCCACCAGATGTGCACTGATTGGCCCATGGCGCGCAGGGATCCGTACAGGACTTTCGGGAAGAGGTGGACACCACAGGGGGAGGAAGGCTGGAGGAGAGCCGAGAAAGGGCAGGCCAGCCGGGAAGGGGGACCAGCAAAGGAGCCGACTGGGCAAGGTCCGGGTGGGCCCTTGGTGGGTGTCAGTTCTTCGGGCTCTTGCTCCTTCGTTCCCCGTTCTGACTCTACCTTACAACGCCTTGGCCCTCTGCTGCCCGTCTATTTGATGACCAGATCGCGCCAGTGGGCATCCGGTATGAGGCCGGCCCGGCCGAACTCCCGCACCAGCAGGGCAATCGGGGCCAATTCGCGGCGCTCAATCAGGTCGAAGTACAGCAAGAAGCATACCAGGTGCACGGTCAGGGTATTGATGTGGGCCACCAGGCCTCGGCCGTGGAGCACGGGAAAGTGCGCGTGGTACGTGTGCGCCAGGCACCTGAGGAGGCGCTTGAGTCCAGGCCGGGCCACAGCCGAGGTGAAGGTGGCCGGAACCGGGGACCCGGCCTCCGTCGGGCAGAGGGAACGGTCCTGCAGCTGGGCCGCCATGGCGGTCAGGGTGAAGTCGATGTACTGCGGAGCCGACACGCGGGAAACCTTGCGATCGGGATCGGCCCAAAGGTACTCGTAGCTAGGAGGCGAAGGCAAGGTCAATTGGACGGGCCGGTAGAGACACCTAAAGAGCCGGGGGGGGGGGGGGGGAGAGGGGCCGCAAATGGAGGAGCCCGTACCACTCGCCGGCCATCATCAGTGGGCAGCTTTTAGTCGTGCACTGGTCGTTGACGGCACTCAAAATGATGTTGGTGTTTTGGAAGAAGTCGAAAAAGTTGGAGGCAATCCACTCCGGCATGTCGACATACTTCGGCTGGGTGACCAGGCTCAGGAGGCTTCCGCTGACGAGAACCGTATGCGCATGAGGAGCCCGGCAGAAGATCGGACCTGGTCCAGGCTCGGTCTGCTGCTCGAGCAGGGCCAGCGGGGTGATGGTCGAGGTGGGGAGAGACGGTGGGGCGTGAGGGGTGTGGTAGTGCCCGGAGTAGGCGTTGCTCTGAGGCGTTTGCTGCTGCTGCTGGTGGTGCTGCTGCTGGTGCTGCTGCTGGTGCTGGTGATGCTGCTGTTGCTGCTGCTGCTGCTGCTGCTGCTGCTGCTGCTGCTGCTGCTGCTGCTGCTGCTGCTGCTGCTGCTGCTGCTGCTGCTGGTGTTGTGAGTGTGTTGACTGGAGAGGATTGGGGTTGGAGAAAAAGGGATGCGACACAAGGGCGGCCTCAGTAGCGGGGGGTTGCTGCTGGTGGTGCTGCGAGGGGGGATGCTATTGCGCCAGCAAGGGCAGCCGACGGGGGGAGGCCAAGGAGCAAGGTTATGCCAGAACGCCAACCGAGTGAGTCAGGGAGAGTGTGTGTGTGCGCGCGCGAAAGGGAGGGAGAGAAAGAGAGAGAGAGAGAGAGAGAGAGAGAGGGAGAGGGAGAGAGAGAGAGAGCGGGTGACAGTGCGCACCGAGTCGTCATGGCGCGGGTGGTGTGAATGCCCGGCGGGAGGGGCACCTGGCCCGGATCCCGGGCCAGCCGCTTGGCTCTGGAAGAAACCCGGATCGAAGGCCGACTGCTGCGAGCTCGGTCCCGGTGGGTGGAAAGTTGCCGGGCCCCCGGCCGAGTGTAGGCTAGATGGCGGGGGGATGATCGGGGCCACCGATACCGACGCATCCGACAGGCTACTGGCCGGGATTGGCTGTGACGCCTTATGCGTCCGCAGGGTATTGGACCGCTTCCTGTGAGGCCGGAAAGGGACCAGAGTCAGAAGAGGCAGGGAGAGGGGGAAAGGGGCGGCACCCGGCGGCGAAAGGCAACGGCAAGGGTGCCCCCAGGCGGAGCGTACTTTAGAAACATGGCACAGGGGGGCGAAGGAGTGGGGGGATCTGATGCTCCCCTCCGCGAAGCCAGAGGGATCGCTGGGCGGCGAGCGAGAGACGGTGTCCAAAAGGCGGCGAGGGACGGGACAAGCAGGAGGAGAGAGAGAGAGAGAGAGGGGGACAAGGAAAAAGAGAGAGGGGGGAGGGAACGGGCGAGGAAGAGGGGGAAGTAGCGGGGGGGGGGAGTGGGGGAGCACACCCCGCGGCGAGCCGCGTCAGGCCGCGCCCTCAAAAAAGGGCCCCGCTAGGAATGGAGGAATGAGCTTGGACGGGGTGCGCGCGCGCGTACAAAAGGGCGTGTGTGTGGGGCGGGGGGGGGGGGGATCACCCTCGTCGCAATGCACTGAGTCTCCTCCACTCAGGTGGTCCCCGCATGTCTGGGGATTGCTCGGTTGCCAATTAATCGTCTGCCCCGAGGGCGGCGAGGGAGCTACTCGCAGAGGAAGCTTCCTGTGTGGGGGAGGGAGTATCACTGTTCATTGTGTTCGGCCCTTGCAGGAGGGCAGACGAAAAAGGGGAACACGGCCAGAGAGCGAAGGGACCCTGTTGGTGTCCGGTCTGGCTGCAGGCGCCCCCGCCGCCCGGAGAGAGGGGCTTAATTCAGCGACTTGGGCGGACAAAGAGTTGGCATTCCGCGCCCCGGGACGCCCTGTCCCAGGCGTGCTCCCATCGCCAGCCCGCCCCGGCGCACAGAGCCCCGGCATCCATCCGGCCTGCCCTGCGGCCCAGGGGCCGGAGGGAGGAGGCCTCTCGCTTGCTGGGGGGAACGCCAACAGCGCCCAGCATGCGACGACAGATCAGTCCTCCTCGACGCGAACCCGGGTCCGGGCCCGGAGCCATGGATGCCGGGCTCCCAAAGCCCCGGGAAGCGGCGGGGATCTAAGCACCGCTGCCCAGTCGCACCGGCCGCCCGCTAGCGTCCTTGTCGCATTCAGTGTCTCCCCCCCCCCCCCCCCGCCCCTCCCGCCCCTGTCAACGAGTCACTCTCACACAGCAGGCCGCGGGCCAGGGGCGGGCCTCGGGCAAGGCCGCTGGCCCTCTGCGGAGGCAGGCATCCAAGTGGCAACGGGGGGGGGGGGGGGGGCTCGATCGTGCGGGAAGACATCATGGCTGACACTTCACTTCGGGCTTTCCGCACAGGCCCTCCCCGACGCCTGGCACCTTCCGACGGGCGGGGGAGGGGTGCGAAGGGCGATCGGTCGGGCCAGGGGCGAGAAGAGGCTCCTCCTTGGGGGACCGCCATTCGCGAAGCCTGGCACATCCCTCTTCCCTCCCCGCACCCCCTGTCCTATTTTCTCCTTTCTCCACACACACACACACACACACACACACACACACACACTCCACTCTATCTGCATCTCCTCGCCTCTTTTGCTCGTCACTCTCCCTCCCCCTTCGTCCATTTTCCTCCGCACTCGCTCCCACCCCCTCGTCCCCGATGGCCGACCCGACGAGTCCCTCCTCGCCCTCCGGCCAGTCGTCAGCCTCGGGCTCCCGGTCGCAAGAGGCGGTACGCATGGCCTCCTCGCCCTCGCCGCATCGCCGCGTGTGCTCTAACTATGCCTCCGCCATTTTTACCATCCCGACACCACGCCTGCCAACCCCATCTCCCGATGGCCGATCCTCAGCTGCGCCTGCAGCGCCAGGCGTACCTTGAGCGCATCGACTCGACGCCGAGTGCGGAGCCCGCCCCGGCCCCCACGTCGCCCGCGCTCGCACCCAGCCAAGCCCCGATGCGTGTCGATCCAAGCCCCCCGCCCGGGCCCGCCACCCTGGGCGACGAGCTGCGCAACCATGAGCTTGGCTATGCCATCCCCATGCTGGAGCGCGTCTTCGCCATGAAGCTAGCCGTTCGTCCTTTGTCGCCTGACGCCTGGCCCCTCTCCTTTCGCCTCTTTCCCTTTCCCCCGCCCCCCCTCCCCTCTGACTCGCATGCTGTTGACCCGCCTTGCGCGCTCGAATCGCCCCGCAGGAACAGGGCTCTGCTGTCACCTCGCCCGTGCAGCCGTATGCCGACGCGAGCTTCACCCCGGGCACCGCGCCCGGCGATGCCGCCCGGCACCCGCTGCTTTTCATCCTGGATGACTTGCACAAGCGCTACCAGGAGGCCTCGTCCCCCGAGCAGGCGGCTCTCCTACTGAAGGCCAGCGTGGATGTCTTCTTCTTGCACACCATGCACCACTCGATTGTGCTGCAGGAGCTACACACCTTCGACCAGATGACCTGGTCCTGTCCGCAGCTGGACACCTTCACCGGGGACACCCACATCTTTGGTCTGATTTTGGCCATCTACAACCGGGCACTGGAGGAGGAGAAGTCCTCGCGCATGTTCAAGGTGCGGGGCTCTTGCCTGGTGCTCCTGGGCCTGGATGGAGGATGAGGGCGGGGAATGGCTGTCTTTTGGGCTCTTTCTCTTTCTCACTCCCCCTTTCTCCGACCACCGTCACCTCGCTGCCGGGCACCTTCGGCGGGCTGTTGTTCCCCCCCCCCCCCCCCTTCCCCCAAACATGCACAAACGGGTACCGCCGTGCGCATGGCACATGCCACGCAACTGTAGACCACCGCCCCCTTCCGCATGGCTCTCCTGGGGGCCATCAAGTCGGTGGCCGTGTCCTACTCCTCGCTGGTCCTGTCATCAGACGACATCCTCATGGTGACCGAGGACAAAGTGTGCGCGTCTCCTTCGCTTGCATGGGCTCCCTTGCCTTTCCTCTTGCCGGGCTCCCATCCATGCTGACCACGGGTCCTCGGTGCAGCCTGCCGACCGATGTCCTGCTGGCGCACATCCTGGTGACCGTGACCACCACGACCGAGGCCTTTTCCTCGTCCATCAACCCGCGTGTGCTTCCCTCGTGCTTCATCCCGGCTCTGGTTGAGCACACCCTGTCCCAGGGTGATGGCATGTTTGACGATGTGCGCCTGAGTGTGCCCTGTTGCTCCTTCCTTCTCCTCGTCGTCCACACCAACTCAGGAGTCGAGTGGCACTTGAATATTCCATCCCCCTGACACAAACACACACACACACACACACACACGCGCGCGCGCGCGCGCGGGCGCCTCCTCCTTTGCACCCTCGTCCTGGGGCTGGCTGGGCAGATTTTCGGCCACACCCTCGACGCCCTGCACCGCGGCGCCCAGCTCCTGGCTTCGGCCTCACGGTCACCAATCCTGCTGGAGCACATCATCACCCACAAGACCTCGACCCAGGTGTTTGATGATACGGTTCGCTTTGTTGGGGCCCTTGTCTTCCTGGTCCGCCAACACCCGGCCATCATTGCCAAGGTATGACTTCTTGTTGGATTTCCCCTCCTCTGCCCCTTGGCATGAGCTTCGCCCCTGTGCTCCGGCTGCCTGACTCCCTTGGCATCTCCCCCCCCCCCCTGCCCCCCTCTCTGGCTCGTACTTGCCCGTCCTCCCTCGATAGATGGTCGCCCTGCCCAATTGGTCCTTCCTTCCGACGGATCGGATCTTCAGTGGCCTGCCGCGTGAGCTCCTTGCTGGGGGGCTGCTCAACAATCAGGATTCCATTTTCTCACTGAACATCCAGATGGCGTCCTTCCTTGGTCCCTTCTTCTCGTTCTCCTTCTTCCCCAAGGACACGGTGCGTGCTTTGCTTCTTCTCTCCTGCCTGTGCTTGTCCACACATATCCACGCCGTGGCCTCCTTCGCCCCGCTCCCCCCCCCCTGGCCCCCCTTCCGGCTGGCTGACCCGATGGCCCTACTGTGCCACCTCCAACCAGCCCTTCGCCCTGGATTACTTCTTCGGACCCATTCCCCACCGTCCGGAGGCCATCATCCGACATGTGTCCATGTATGGGACCTTCCTCAACAAGAGCACCAGCCGCTACAACCGCATCGACTTCAATGTGTCCATCAAGCGCAGCTTCGATCAGTACCACGTGCGCACCTGCTGCTGCTGCTGTTGCTGCTGCGGCCATACACCCCCCCCCACACACACACACACACAGCGGACTTGCTTCCAGGCCGGTTGAACCCTGCACCCGATGGTCCCTAACCCGCTCGGCTGTCTTTGATCGTCCCACCACCCCAGACCCACCTCCATGATCTGACGTTCCTGGTGCTGAAGGCCCACCGGGACAATATGCTGGCCTTCCTGGAGGCCGTGGTCCAGGCCAATGCCAGTCGCACGCAGCTCCAGGTGAACCCGGCCCGGCTGACCTCCCTCGGCATGGCGTACAATGTCCTGGCGGTGCTGCTGCGCCTGTGCCATCCGATCCTCGAAGATGAGCCCTTCCCTCCATTGGCCCCGGATGCGTTGACCTTCTGCCAGCTAAAGGCCCCGATGGAACGCTTCCTGGACCCGTGGTTTTGGCTCCAGCCTGCCGGGCGCCCATGGGTCAAGGATGCCACTCGCTGGGCGGCCTCCGATGCCCAGGTGTCCAGCGTGGAGGCATACATTGACAGCACTTTCCCAGATTTGAAGGGTGCGGCCGAGCACACGCCCCTATGCACATGCGCAAGGCCGCCCCCCCCCCCCACACACACACACACCGGGCACAGGCTCCGAGTTGCTAACCCCTTTCCCATGACCGGGGGATCTTCTCCGTCTTCTTGCTCTTTTCCTTTCTCTGGTCCATCCATGTCGCCGGTAGACAAACCGCCCGCCTTCGTGACTCGACTCTTCTTCATGACCTTCACCATGATCCATCGCACCCTGATCCCGATTCTCAACCAGTACAAGGAGTACTCCGGCCCGAATAGCCAGCGCCCGATCCAGGATGCGCTGCAGGCCCTCCAGGATGAGTATGGCTCCGGGGGGTCGCTGGATCTGGCCGCCCGGCTGCGTGCTCTGCCCCCGGCAGCCATGCGAAATGTCACCATCGCCGTCTACCAGTCGGAAATGTTCTATCGGACGCTGTCCATCCTGGAGGCGGCGGTGCTGCCCTTCTCGGCCGCTGGCGAGAGTGCCATGGCCGCCGAGCCGGCCACTTTCGGCTTGCCGGCCTATGTCTCGCGCTTCCTGGCGACCGCGTCCAAGTGGCTGCTCAGCCTCCTCGGGGGCTTTCAGACGTGCGCACCTTTCACCCTCGCCCGTCGGCCTGGCCGCCGCCCGGTCCTGCCCTTCTCTGACTTTTGCCCGGGCTCTCTCCTGCTCTTCAACCCCACCCTACCGCCCTGCTGGCGCATGGGCGCTCCCAGCCTTCCACTTCGGACGCCACCATCGGACCTGGTCCGCTGCTTGCCGGAGTGGCTGCTGGAAACCGTGCTTGACTGGTTCAACTTCGTCATTTCGGCCATCCCGGCGGGGGTGCTGTGTCGGACCCTGAGTGGCTTCGACGCGGGGCCCTTCCGCATCCTGTCGGGCATTGCCCCGCCTGTGGACTTCCTGGTGACCCTGGCCACGGTGCTGCTGTATGCTCCGATGCACATTCGCAACCCGTATCTTCGGGACAAGTTCACCGAATTCCTCTTCTCCCTGCTGCATGTGTCTTCCTCGCAGCTTCCCCCCTTCTGGGCTCTGGTTGAGGAGCACTACCCGGAGCCAGCGGCCAACATGGGCCTTCAGGTAATCATGCGGAATGCCACCGCCCGTCGGTGGCTCTTCCCCATGGCCATGGCCTTCTACCAGGGTGCGTACAAGGGTGCATCCTTGGCTCTTTGGCCCTTTTTGCTGGCCACCCTCCCGCCTTTTCCCGGAGCCGGGGACCTCCATGGGCTCGGGTCGATGGGGGGGGGGGGGTGGGGGGGGGGGGGGGGGGCCTCCCCCGGCGTTGCTCACAAATATCCGATGTCACTCACTCTGCTTGGGCCTTCTTCTTCTTCTTCTTTTTTTTCCGCCCTCTCCCCCCCTCCTCCTGTGCCCCAATGTGACACATCGGCGCAGAGGTCGAGCACACCGGGTCCTCGCACCAGTTCTTCACCAAATTCTCCATCCGCTATCGACTGGCCTGCCTGGTCAATGTATTGTGGATCAGTGACCCGGCCAACACCGTGGTCCCCTCGACGATTCCCCTGTCCAATGAAGAGGCCGCCGTGCTGAATGGGCGCTTTTCTTCGCAGTTCCCGCGCGAGGCCTTGCCACTGATGCAGCTGGCCGGCGAGACGCCTGCCACCACAGCCGACGGGGCGGCCCCTTCGTCAGCCTCGTCCGGGGCTCTGGCCGCCCCAGCGCCGTCGCTCGATGGATCGCTCTCGAAGCACCCCTTCCAGGAATCGCTGCTGGCGGAGTTCCTCCAAACCTCCCACTCTTCGGTGTCGGCTCCGGGAGGGTCTTTCGTGCGCTTTGTCAATCTCCTGATGAATGACGCCACCTTCCTGCTGGATGAGGCCCTGCGGCACTTGGCTCAGATCCACACCCACGAGCAGGAACACCCGCCCGGGGCTGATGCCAGCACCTTTTCCGAGGGGGCGGCAGCGGCCCAGCGCACACCGCCGCCCCCGCCGGCGACCCCTGCCCGGGCACGCCGCGACCCGAATGCCCAGGGCGAGCCTGCCAGCGATGAGGAGGAGTCGGAGGGGGAGGAAGACGCCTCCGCCACTGCCGAACAGACTGACATCAACACCATCCGGTCGAGGGCGTATTCCAGTGTGTCGCTCAGCTTCCAGACCCTGCTACTGGTGCGTGCTGTGCAGGGGGCATTGCTGTTCTTTTTGCCGCCTCTGCCATCTTCGGGGAGGAGGGGGGGGGGGGGATCCTGTGCACACTTATCCGCGCGCGTACTCGCGTCCTCCCCGGCCCTCCTTGGCCCTCTCGCATCCACCTTGCCAGCCAGGCGCCCGTTGACCGTGTGTTCGGCCCTTTCCTCGTTCGTGTCTCCGGTGTATGTGTGTGTATGTGTGTGTGTGTGTGCGCGTGTGCCCTTGTCGCGCAGTTCCGCAACCTTTCCGGCACCATTCGCGAGCCCTTCCTTCGTCCGGAGATCGTCGACCGCCTGGTGGCCATGCTTAACTACAACCTGTCGCAGTTGGTCGGCCCCAAGTGCACCGAGCTCAAGGTCCACAAGCCCGAGCAGTATGGCTTCAAGCCGATCAACTTCCTGCAGGTCCTGCTGAGCACATACCTCCATCTGTCAGCGGACTTGGACACCCCGGACTCGGCCATGCTCGAGACGGCTTCCTCCTCGGCGGATGGCAGCCTGCGCGGCGTGCTGCCTCCCACCGGTGGGCCTGACTCCGATGAGGAGGAGGAGGAGGATGAGGATGACCTCCTGACCGAGGATGAGAAGCATCCCTTCTTGGTGGCCATGGCCAAGGATGAGCGGTCCTTCGATGCGCGGTATTTCACCACGGCCAGCCTGCTGCTGCGCAATCGCCTGCAGAAGTCCGACCACGAGATTGACGCGCTTTTGCGCATGTCGGCCCGGGTGCAGGCCTTGCGCGCGGCCCTGGCCGAGGACATGGGCTCCGGCGCCGAGGCTAGCGGCCCGTATGACGACTCTTCCGACATTCCGGAAGACTTGCTCGACCCGATCACCTTCGCTTTGATGACCGATCCGGTCATGCTCCCCAGCAGTCGGATGGTGGTCGACCGGTCTACCATTCAGACGCACCTCCTCAGCGACCCGACCGATCCCTTCAACCGGTCCCCACTGACGGCGGAGCAACTCCTACCTGGTGCGCCCCCCCCCCCCCCCTCCTCCCCCTCTGGTGCCTTTTCTCTGCCCGTATTTCTTCCCGCCATCCCTCTGCCCGCCTGTCTCCTCGTGGTTTTGGTCTTTGTGTGAACCCCCCTTGCGGCACAGTCCAGCTTCCATGTCACTGACCTTGTCTCCACTGGCATTCATGTATGTGTGTGTGCATGTGTGTGTGTTTGCATATGTGTGTCTCTTCTTGTGCTCTGTTGTACAACTCTCTGCAACGATGGACCACCATCCCCCCGTAGCCCCCGAAATCCGCAAGAAGGTCCGACAGCATCTGGCGCAGAAGCGCAAGGAGCGCCGACTCCGCATCAAGCAGGCCACCGCCGCCGCCGCCGCCACCACCACCACGACGGCCGGCGACACCCGCATGCAGGATCTCTAGACGCCAGCCAGTCGGTCAGGACAAGGACAGGGACAAGGTGTATGCACAGGCAGTCATGTGCTGGCTGTTCTCTCTCCTTGACAGCCCCCCTCTCTCTCATGACAAACGTGAAATACGACAGGCGAATTGAAAGCCATCCATGCATGTGTAGTGTCGCGAAGGGGCATATCACGAGGGGAGGGAGGGGCACTCAGGGGGGAGCACTTTTGACTTGGGGGGGAGTAAGGAGGGCGTTTATTTTTGTGAGGAGGTGCATTCATCCGCAACAGGCGGGTAAACTGGGAGGCGATCCGGACGAAGGAGAAGTGCCACACTCTAGTTGAGAATTGCGAATGCATCGGCGCAAGTATTGTCTGTGACCGGTGGCGATATTCGGACAAGAGGGTTAGCCCACGCGTGTCCACAGTCCGGCAGGGGGACGGACCAGCCGAGGGAAAAGCATGCGAAGAAGGGCAGAAAACAAGCTGAGTGCGTACCGGGGAAATGGAGTCCGCGTGCCGGAAGCAGGGAGGGGCGCGCGACAGACAAGCTGGCCAGACGCTGCTGGATGCGCACCAAGGTGTCGGCGGTTGGCGCC